CTGTTGTGAGGCACAAGCGTTGGGGTGATATTTGTTGTGGGGTGATGTTGTGAGGGTGATGCTGTTGTGGGGGCGTTGTGCTGTTGTTGTGGGGAAGTGATGTTGTTGTGGGGTGATGTTGTTGGTGAGGGTGCTGTTGTTGTGGGGGTGATGTTGTTGTGGAGGGCATGTTGTTGTGGGGGTGCTGGTGCTGTTGTTGTGGGGTGATGTTGTTGTGGGGCAAGATGTTGTTGTAAAGTGCGTGCTGTTGTTGTGGGGGTGATAAGCTGCTGTGAGGGTGCTGCTGTTAAGAGGGTGATGTTGTTGTGGGGGGTGATGTTGTTGGTGGGGGGTGATGTTGTGGGAGTGATGTTGTTGTGAGGGTGCTGTTAAGTTGTGAGGGTGATGCTGTGGGGGTGCTGTTGTTGTGGGGGTGCTGTTGTTGTGGAGGCGCTGTTGTTGTGGGGGTGATGTTGGGTTGTGGGGGTGCTGTTGTTGTGGGGGGCATGCTGGTGAGGGCGATGTTGTTGTGGGGTGCTGGTGCTGTTGTTGTGGGGGTGATGCTGTTGTGGGGTGATGTTGTTGTGGTGGTGCTGTTGTTGGGTGAGTGGGTGATGTTGTTGGTGGGGGGTGCTGGTGCGCTGTTGTTGTGGGGGTGGATGTTGTTGTAAAAGCTGTTGTTGGGTGATGTTGTTGTGGGGGTGCTGGTGCTGCTGTTGTGGGGGTGACGTTGTTGTGGGGGGTGATGTTGTTGTGAGGGTGCTGTTGTTGTTGGGAGTGATGTTGTTGTGAGGGTGCTGTTGTTGTGAGGGTGATGTTGTGGGGGTGCTGTTGTTGTGGGGGTGCTGTTGTTGTGAGGGTGCTGTTGTTGTGGGGGTGATGTTGTTGTGGGGGTGTTGTTGTTGTGGGGGTGATGTTGTTGTGAGGGTGATGTTGTTGTGGGGGTGCTGGTGCTGTTGTTGTGGGGGTGATGTTGTTGTGGGGGTGATGTTGTTGTGGTGGTGCTGTTGTTGTGAGGGTGATGTTGTTGTGGGGGTGCTGGTGCTGTTGTTGTGGGGTGATGTTGTTGTGGGGGTGCTGTTGTTGGGGTGAGTGTTGTTGTGGGGGTGCTGGTGCTGTTGTTGTGGGGGTGATGTTGTTGTGGGGTGATGTTGTTGTGAGGGTGCTGTTGTTGTGGGGTGATGTTGTTGTGAGGGTGATGTTGTTGTGGGGTGCTGGTGCTGTTGTTGTGGGGTGATGTTGTTGTGGGGGTGCTGGTGCTGTTGTTGTGGGGGTGATGTTTGTGGTGTGTTGGTGGTGGTGCTGTTGTTGTGGGGGTGATGTTGTTGTGGGGGTGATGTTGTTGTGAGTGATGTTGTTGTGAGGGTGCTGTTGTTGTGAGGAGTTTGGGGTGCTGTTGTTGTGGGGGTGCTGTTGTTGTGAGGGTGCTGTTGTTGTGGGGGTGATGTTGTTGTGGGGGTGTTGTTGTTGTGGGGGTGATGTTGTTGTGAGGGTGATGTTGTTGTGGGGGTGCTGCTGCTGTGGGGGGATGTTGTTGTGGGGGTGATGTTGTTGTGGTGGTGCTGTTGTTGTGGGGGTGATGTTGTTGTGAGGGTGCTTTGTTGTGGAGGTGATGTTGTTGTGGGGTGATGTTGTTGTGGGGGTGATGTTGTTGTGGGAGTGATGTTGTTGTGAGGGTGCTGTTGTTGTGAGGGTGATGTTGTGGGGGTGCTGTTGTTGTGGGGGTGCTGTTGTTGTGAGGGTGCTGTTGTTGTGGGGGTATTGTTGTGGGGTGTTGTTGTTGTGGGGTGATGTTGTTGTGGAGGGTGATGTTGTTGTGGGGGTGCTGGTGCTGTTGTTGTGGGGGTGATGTTGTTGTGGGGGTGATGTTGTTGTGGTGGTGCTGTTGTTGTGAGGGTGATGTTGTTGTGGGGGTGCTGGTGCTGTTGTGGGGTGATGTTGTTGTGGGGGTGCTGTTGTTGTGGGGGGTGATGTTGTGGGGGTGCTGGTGCTGTTGTTGTGGGGGTGATGTTGTTGTGGGGTGATGTTGTTGTGAGGGTGCTGTTGTTGTGGGGTGATGTTGTTGTGAGGGTGATGTTGTTGTGGGGGTGCTGGTGCTGTTGTTGTGGGGTGATGTTGTTGTTGGGGGTGATGTTGTTGTGGTGGTGCTGTTGTTCCTGGGGTGATGTTGTTGTGTGAGGGTGCTGTTGTTGTGAAGGTGATGTTGTTGTGGGGGTGATGTTGTTGGGGGGGTGATGTTGTTGTGGGAGTGATGTTGTTGTGAGGGTGCTGTTGTTGTGAGGGTGATGTTGTGGTGATGCCATGGTAAAGATGTTGCTGTGAGTGGGTGCCAAGGTTGCGGGGGGTGATGCTGTTGTGGAGGGTGATGCTGGTTGTGGGGTTGGCGCTGTTGTTGTGGGGGGGCGGATGCCGGTTGCGGGGGCGATGTTTGCTGGGCAGTGGTGGCGCTGCTGTCTGGAAGTGACGTTGCTGCGGGAGGGCGCTCGCTGCTGCGGCGGGTGGACGTTGTTGTAAGATGTCGTTGTAAAGGACGTTGTTGTAAAGATGGGGATGCTTGCTGCTGGTGGAGGGTGCCAGCCGGTTGCGGGAGGGTGATGCTGTGCGCTGTTGTTGTGGGGGGTGCTGTTGTTGGTGAGTATGCTGTTGCTGTGATAAGTGGATGTTGCTGTGGGGGCGTTGGTTGCTCGTAAAGATGTTGCTGGTGAGGGCGATGTTGTTGGGGGCGCTGGCGTGCTGTTGTGGGGGCGAGATGTTGTTGTGGGGTGGGGATGTCACTGGTGGTGGCAGCCGTTGTCAGAGGGTGATGTATTACAGGGGGCGCTGGTGCTGCTGTTGTGCGATGCTGTCGTGGGGGTGCTGCTGTCAGGGAAGGATGCTGCTGGGGCGCTGGCGCTGCTGGTTGTGGGGTGATGCGTTGCTGTAAAGACGTTGCTGCGGTGGTGCTGCTTGCTGGTGAGGGCGTGCGGATGCTGTTGCGGGGCGACGTTGCTGGTGGGGGTGTTGGTTGTTGTGGGGGTGATGCTGTTGTGAGGGCGGATGTTGCCAGGGGGCAGATGTTGGTTGTGGTGGTGCTGTTGTTGCGAGGCGATGTTGTGTGTGGTGATGCTGTTGTGGGGTGCTGTTGTTGTGTGTGGGGGTGATGTTGTTGTGAGGGTGATGTTGTTGTGGGGGTGATGTTGTTGTGAGGGTGCTGTTGTTGTGAGGGTGATGTTGTTGTGGGGGTGATGTTGTTATGGGATGTTGTTGATGTTTGGTGAGTCTCTTGCTAGATCATCTTTATGACACAGGAAACGTCCTTCATCTGGTCCTACTTTATCTCTCTTAAGGTCTTGACATTCTGGTATTACTTATGAAACTCACTATAAGCGGGAAATAGTCACTCGGTGCAATGATTTTATTTTCATGAATTTGAAGATATATTTTTAATCTTTAAGTATTTAATTTTTTTATACGTTCATTTAATCTCTATCTCTTTATTTAAAATTTCGTGCTACTAATGATATTTAGAATTGTTCTGTTGTGGTACCTCAACAAGAGATGACAGGATGGACCTAATTACGGTGGTGTTTTACAATAATTTCTGTGTTAATTTGTTTACTTTCTATTTGCAGTAGCTTATGTGAAAAGTGGAAAGTTTCCCACAAGGTACAACTCCATCTAGTGCCCGAATTTGTGATACTTTGTCTTGGTGTGGGGCTCGAATGAACGATTTTCAAATATCTGGGATGGGTTTAGAGTTCCCATCTTGTTACCTCAAATGAGGAAGCTGGAAGTGGATAGTCACTAAACACGCAAGTTCACGTCTTCATGGGCGATATTGATAATGATATTGAAACAGTATATTTAGCCAGAGAAATACAGATACAGAGTGGAAAATAAGAACAATATTGACACGGATTAGCCAAGTGAGAGCCAGAGCGAGCCTTCTTAGTGGCACCTGTTATATATTGTACATTTACCTCAGTGAATTACAGTACTGTATAGCATTTAGTATTACCTGGATTACCACATGTAACATGGTGTTACTATATACAGTACATGTTAGAATGTTACCACGTTTATCACCCTTTAGTTTTCCTTTTTTAACATTTATATCACAAATATATACACACTTTTACAGCAGAGTATAGTTGATATACAGTAATCTGGTAATGTGCATGGGATGTGTTGGGAGACACACAGTCAGGATCATGTCGCTACAGCAAAACATTAATAATATCATTGCAATGGGAATATTTATTGAACTGACGCTATATGGTATAATGGTTTCTAATGGTACAGTATAGGTAAAAGTATAAAAATAAGTGTTACAAAACTATTAATACGTAGACAATAGATATATTTTAAGAGATGATTTAAAGGATAAAAATAAAAGAACTAAAAGTAATAACTTCAATGATGTTAAAATATTATTATAGATGATATATTGTAGGGGTATCAAGATATTAATGTTGTCTAGCACTCAGGATGGAAGGAAACTCTAATGTGGTTTTCTTGTATAATATATAAGTTATATGATAGACAGTCTGGTGCTGGAGATACCGTGTGGTTAGGGGCTGCTCAGTAGAAGACGTTCGGTGAGTAGCGTGTTGAAGGAGGTAGATGTGCAGGAGCTTCGTTAGAGAAGATGTTGCCTGTTGCTGGCCTCTTGGTTGAATAAATGTTAACAGCTAGGAGCTTGCTGGAGGAGGTGTTGCTTGTTCAGGAAAATGGGCAGGATGAGAGTTGGCTGGTGAGGAAGCTCAGAGAAGGACAGCTGGTGGGTCGCCATGCTCGCTGTCGGGAGCGAGGACCGCCAGGCAGGCGGAGGAGGAGCTAAGGCAGCCAGGCAGCGGCGGAGGAGGAGGTGTTGCTTGTTGAAGAAGAATGGTCAGAATGAATCTCAATGGAGAGACAGAGCTTATATACCCAGCAGCAGCCGCTATGAGTCATGTTGGGAAAACCCAGAAAGTCGCCGGTGACTGGTTCCGTTGCTAAGATACGGTAACATCTGGTTTCAGCTCTCGCTTGGTTGCTAGGCGACGGCACGTCGGAATGCGTGGAGGTGCCGTGTGGTGGCTGTGGCTACGCAGTTGTAGGCAGTTGTAGGGGAGACGTCCACTACAATATTATATGTGATTAAAGGGAAAAGTGAGACAACTGCAATGTTATACTAAATTATACCTTCTTTGTTAACTACATCTTTACAGTGTTATATTAATTTACACCATCTTTGTTAATTATATGTTTACTGTATTTTATTAATTATACAATTTATAATTAATGTTAGTTTCAGGAAGTATCTTTGGTTAGTGTTATTTAGGACGAATCATCATCTTGAGTTGCTTCAGTCCTACCCAGCCTGAAGTAGTGGGCGTGAAATAGTACCAAGACAAGACGCTAGAGCTACCGTCAGTGTTGCCGTGAGGTGCTGTAGGGTGAGCCCAGCTACAGCCAGAGTACCACCAGCCGCCACCTCCACGCTGAGTAACGCAGCCTGTAAAAAACACGTGGGTAATTTGTTGTTGCTTTACTACTACTACTACTACGACTACTAATACTACTACTACTAATAATACTACTAATACTACTACTGTAACAAAATATGCAAAGTCAAACTCCTCACCCCCATAACAAATATACCTTCAGGAATATTGTAAATTACATTTCATTTCGAGAAAATGCAATTACAGTAAGAGTTTATCTTCGGAATATAAATATAGAAGTAAAGTAATTATAAAATATTAACCCCAAAGCAGATCAGAATTGTTGGAATAAAAATTTGAAGAACAAGAAACAGTTAAAAAAAATGGAAGATAATTTTAAAGAAATGATATCAAGAATGGGAAAAAATAATGGTTTATAAAAGAACAGTTTATAAGGAAAGAATAAACAACACCCTGTCCATAATGAAGTAAACAGCGCCATCACCTGTCCATAATGAAGTAAACAGCGCCATCACCTGTCCATAATGAAGTAAACAGCGCCATCACCTGTCCATAATGAAGTAAACAGCACCATCACCTGTCCATAATGAAGTAAACAGCACCATCACCTGTCCATAATGAAGTAAACAGCGCCATCACCTGTCCATAATGAAGTAAACAGCACCATCACCTGTCCATAATGAAGTAAACAACACCACCACCTGTCCATAATAAAGTAAACGACACCACCATCTGTCTAAGTAAACAACATCATCACCTGTTTATAATCAAGTAAACAACAAAACACTTACCACCGCTATTGTCGACGTCGATTGTAGAGAAAAAGATACCACTGTTGTAAGTCAGGTCATCCCCGAGAGTACTGCTGACGCTGTTATATCCTGTTATTGTGACTCGATAGCTGTGGGTGAGAGGGTTAATGGTTGTTAGGCTGTATTATGTTAAGATATATCATGTTAAGTTGTACCATTTTAAGGGTATATCATATTAATGTATATCATTAGGTTGTATCATGTTAAAAGTTTATAATGTTAAATTGTATCATGTTAGGCTGTATCTTGTTAAAGGTGTATAATGATGAAGATTTATCAGGTTCAATTGGAGTATCTTGTTAACAGAGTATCTTTTTTTAGATATATCATGTTAGGTTTTATCGTGGCAAAAGTTTATCATGATAGGTTGTATCATGTTAAGATGCATCATGTTAAGTTGTATCATATTAGGTTGTATTATGTCAAGAGTATATCATATTATGTTGTATCTTGTTAAGATTGTATCATGCTAGCTTATGTCATGTTAGGTTGTATCCTGTTCAGATTGTATCATGTTAGCTTGTGTCATGTTAGGTTGTGTCGTGTTAAGAGTGTGTCATGTGAGGTTGTATTATGTTAAGAGTGTATAATGTTAGGTTGTATCATATTAAGAGTCTATCGTGTTGGTTGTATCATGTTAACAGGCTATTATGCCAGGTCGAATCATGCTTAAAGTGTATCATGTTAAGTTGCATCATGGTAATATGTATCCTGTTAGTCTGTAACATATTAAGAGTGTATCATGTTACGTTGCATCATATTAAGATGTATCCTGTTAGGTTGTATCATGTTAAGAGTGTATCATGTTAGGTTGTATGAAGTTAAAGCTGTATCATATTAAAAGTTTAACATGGTAAAAGGTTTATCATGCAAGATTGTATCATGTTAGGTTATATTATGTTAAGAGTGTATCATGTTAGGTTGTATACTGTAAAACGTGTATCATGTTAAAGGTTTCATGTAAAGAGTGTATCAGGTTAGGTTGTATCATGCTAAGAGTGTTTTATCTTAAACGTGTGTCATGTTTCAAGTTTAAGAGTGTATCATATTCAGTTGTATCAAGTTAAAGCTGTATCATATTAAAGGCTTAGCATGTTAAAATTTCTATCATGTAAGGTTGGATAATGTTAAGTGTTATCATGGTGACAGTTAAATCATGTTGAGGAGAGAAGACCCATATACTTGTTGCTTTCGGTATCCACGATGAACACGTCCCATTCTCCAGTTCCTGATTCACCGGTCAGTCTGGTCGCGTCCACCCTCAGGATGTACTGCTTCCCACCCCCAGTCACAGCGTGGAGGTTCTCATTGCCTGTAAGTGAACCTCATTAAGTTCTTTGTGTTTGTAAGTGAGCGTCAAAGTTTTAAATATAATAATTGTTAGTTACGCGAAATTTTAAAAAGAAAACTGAAATGTAATAATAAATTCGAAGCACCTGAAGGTTAAGTTAGGGTCGTGTTAGTGTTACAATAGGTTAGGTTAGGTAAGGTTAAGTTAGGTTAGGTTATGTTAGGTTAGAGGTAGAATTGGTTAGATTAGTAGTTAGGCATGTTTAGGTTAGAGTTTTGTTAGGTTAGGTTAGTATTAGGTTGGGCTACGTTCAGAAAGTTTAGGTGTGGTTAAGTTAGGTTTAGGTTAGGTTTGATTAATACTGGTAAAGTTATTGATAGGTTAGGTTAGGTTACCATTAGCTTAGGTTAAGTTATGTTAGGCTAGGTTAGGTTAGGTTAGTCATGTTATCCGAGAACTCCTAATTACCTAGCCAATATTCTCCAAGAGGGTCCCCGAAGCCATTCTTGTAATCTTGCCAGGGTCTTGTGAAGTTGTAGTGCGTTGAGATGGAGTTACGAGAGAGAAAGATCGTCCAGGCATAAGTCCCCTGAAGTTCACAGTACACATTCACACCTGTTGAGGAACTGACAAACAACATGATTTTCTACATTTAGTTAGTTTTACTGATTTAGTATATGCATCAAATCTATAACAAATACAGTACACTGCTATTATTTATTTTGCAATGGCTATATGTATTCTTTCTTTTTACAGTATGCTACACAGTTAAAGTACATAAGAACATAAGAACATAAGGAGTCTGCAATAGGCCGGTTGGCCTGTGCCTGGCAGCTCCTGTCGAGAGTTACTACCACTCTCTATCATCCATGAATCTATCTATCCTCCTTTTAAAACTTTCCAATGTTCCAGCACTTACTACAAAGTTGCTAAGCTTGTTCCACTCGTCCACCACCCTATTCGTGAACCAGTTTCTTCCTATCTCCCTCCTAAACCTAAACTTATCCAACTTAAATCCGTTGCTCCGAGTCCTATCCTGCTCTGATATTATAAGAACTGTATCTATATCCCCTTTATTAATTCCTTTCAACCACTTAAATACTTCTATCATATCTCCCCGCACTCTTCGTCTTTCTAGGGAATGCAAGTTTAGTTTCTTTAACCTATCTTGATATGGAAGGTTTCTAAGTCCCGGAATCATTTTCGTCATTCTTCGCTGCAAAGACTCCAGTGAATTGATTTCCATTCTATAATAAGGGCACCAGAACTGAACCGCATAATCGAGGTGCGGCCTGACTAGAGCAAGATATAGTTGCAATAAGACCTCTGCACTCTTATTACTTACACTTCTAGATATAAAACCCAATACTCTGTTTGCCTTATTTCGAACATTAACGCACTGTTTTCTAGACCGTAGGTCCGGGCTTACAAGTACCCCTAGGTCTCTTTCACAAGTCGACTTCTCTAGGTTGATGTTGTTAAGGCTGTATACATTGACAGTATTTGTTCTTCCAATATCAAGTACACTGCATTTGTTGGTGTTGAATTTCATTTGCCATTTTTCTGACCACTCCTGCAGTTCATTTAAATCCTCCTGTAGTGCGTTTGCATCCTGCCCTGAATTAATCTGCCGCCCTATCTTGGTGTCATCCGCAAACTTGCTTATGTCACTGCTGATCCCAGTATCTAGATCGTTTATGTAGATTATGAACAAGAGTGGGCCTAGTACTGACCCCTGGGGAACCCCGCTGGTTACACAGCCCGACTCAGATTTAACACCATCTACGCTGACCCTCTGCGTTCTATCGGTGAGCCATGATTTTATCCAACTTAAAACTTTCCCCTCGATACCATGAGCCTAAACTTTTCTCAGAAGCCAAATTCTCGATACCTGCTTTACCAATGTATATTATTTTTATACCTTCGAGTCTGGCTATTGTGCCTGCAATGTTTGTGTATACTGTTTGTATATCTTCACTGTCTATGTAAAATATTTGTATACCTGCAGTGTCTAAATTATTTTTTATGCAATGTCTACTATGCACAATCAAAGACAAAAGTCGTGTCACAGTTTTGTCCGAAGATGAAATATAACTCGTGAAACATTATGAGAGCCCCACCACAAGGCAAAGCGCACCAAAAGTTTAGGCCTTCGGCATATGTTTTCACCAAATTTCACGACACGACTTTTGTCTATCATTGTGCATTGTTTGTATACGAGCAATGTCTTCATATACAGTCTGTTGAATCAATAAGAACATGTATTACGATTAAACTGAATAACTAACCATTCACCCATCTGCTGTGTCTCTAAGGTCACTATACACCTCAACCCTTGGAAAGAACACATTATCTCATAAGAAAAAGTTATATTACTGTAGGTAAATAGATTAAACCTAGATAATTACAACACCTGTTATAATTTAACTTCATCAAACCTCACCTAGCCTAACATAACCACATCCTACCAAACCTCACCTAGCCTAACATAACCACATCCTACCAAACCTGACCTAGCCTAACATAACCAAACCTTATCTTACCTAATCTAGCCTAACCCAACCTAACCTTACCTAGTTTAACCTAAACTGACCTAGCGTAGCCGAACCTAACCTAACGTAACTAATTAAGGCAGAACTTACCTGCTGGGATAAATATCATAGACTCCGTTTTCCGTCGCCCCGGAGCCTCTCACAGCGTCACAGTCAACACGTGGTGCTGTACCTAACGTGATAAACGGTTGGGTTAATTTAGGTTAGGTTAAGTTACGTTAGGTTGCGTTAGGTTTGGTTGGGTTACACAAGTGCAAAAAAAAATATTTCAGTTAAGTTCAAGTTGTTGTACACACACACACACACTTGTATATTATTTGTAATTCGTAACCCATTCCCCAAATATGTAACTGTATATTTTCAGCTTTCTGGCTGCCAAGCTCTTTCAATAAACCGTTAATTATTATTATTATTATTATTATTATTATTATTACACACACACATTACTTTGCTGTCACTCGGAATCGAGTATGACGATCATCCAGCTGTGGTAAAATGATATGGGTTATTAGGGATGTCACCTAGGTTAGTGAGTTTTGAGATGACTAAAGAGCCCGATATGGGACCAGTAGCGTCGTCCACATTCGTTGCACATGTGGAGGGCTGCATCTACTGTGGGAGGGGCGATGGCAGCGTCTTTCCGACGTTGGCGCTTATCTGCCTCGATTTGCAGTCGGGCTAACTCGAAAGTATTAACACCTTCTCGTGTGGTGCTCCTCCAAGCGTTACTATGTGGAGTAATCGACTCCCAGGTGAGGGGTCCGATTTGGCACCTTTTCTGGTTTGTCTTAAGACTATCCTTATACCTTTTCAATTGCCCGCTAGCGTTACGTTGACTATTCGTTAGGTGATTGTAAATTAGCTGCTTTGGCAGTCTACTGTCGTCCATGCGGGTAACATGGCCAGTCCAACGTAGTTGTTCATGGATAATGGTAGCCTCGATGCTCCTACAGTTGGTGTCAGCAAGAATGCTGGCATTTGTAGTCTTGTCTTCCCAGCGAACTCGGAGGATGGAACGTAGACTACTTTGGTGAAAGTTTTCAAGTGCCTTGAGGTACCTCCTGTATATGACCCATGTCTCACTGCCATATAGTAGGGTGGGCAGGACCACTACTCGATGTACGTGCAACTTTGTGGATAATTTCAGCTCCCTACAGCTGAAGACACGATTTCGGAGTCCGCCCAAGGCTTGAGATACTCATCTGATCCGATGCTGAATCTCTTCATCGATGTCTAAGGTGGTGGACAGGTGGGAGTCGAGATACCGAAAGTGGGCAACATTAGAGAGTGTAGTACCGTTAAGCTGAATGGATGGTGGAGGTGTGGCTGAATCAGGGGCAGGTTGAAAGAGAATCTGAGTATGTATATGCGTCTGAATAGGAGTGTGAGCAACAAGGGTGAGGTTGTCTGCATACTGAGGTTCAGTAATGGAAGCTGGCGACGCCTTTGTTCTTGCCTGGAGTAGTCTTATGTTGAAAAGACTCCCCTTCACCCGCCACTCGATGTTCACCCCGCTGGCTAAATTGGCACTGGCACGAGTAAGGAAGGCAGCAAAGAAGATGGAAAAGAGAGTTGGTGTCAGTACATACCCTTGTTTAACCCCTGTTTCGATGGGGAAGAACTGGGTGCCTTTGTGCAGGACACTGCCGTTCATACCGTCGTGGAGTTGCCTCACAATGGCGATGAATTTCGGTAGGCAGCCAAAACGACTGAGGGTCCACTAGAGGACTTCCCTGTTGACCGAGTCGAAGGCCTTGGTTAGGTCGATGAAAGCCATGTATACGTCACGACGTTGTTCTTTGCACTTTTCCTGTATCTGGCGGACAGCAAAGTTCATGTCAGTGGTGCCACGTGATGGTCTAAAACCACATTGAGATTCTGGGAGGAAGTTTTTCGCCTCAGGAAGAAGTCTGTTTAGGAGGACTCGGGCAATAATCTTGCCAGCTACGGAGAGCAGAGAGATCCCACTGTAGTTGCACAATCTGACCGGTCCCCCTGTTCTTATAAATATTGACAATGGAAGCAACTTTAAGAGCTTGGGGGATTTTCTCCTTTTCCCACGTATTCTCCAGGAGAGAGTGGAGACGGCTGGTAACTCTCAGGTACCAAGTAACTCAGTAACACTCTCAGGTACCAAGTAACTCAGTAACACTCCTAGGTACCAAGTAACTCACTCACACTCCTAAGTACCAAGTAATTCACAAACACTTCCAAGGAAGAAGTTACTTAGTAGCACCCTCAAGTAACAAAGAACTCAGTAATACCCCCAAGGAACAAGTAACTCAGTAACATCCCCAAGTAACTTAGTAATACCCCAGAATAACATATAACTCAGTAACACCCCAAGTAACAAGTAATTCAGTAACACCCTAAGTAACAAGTAACTCAGTAACACCCCAAGTAACAAGTAATTCCGTAACACCCCAAGTAACAAGTAACTCAGTAACACCCCAAGTAACAAGTAATTCAGTAACACCCCAAGTAACAAGTAACTCAGTAATACCCTTAAGAACAAGTAACTATGTAGACTTTTAAAAAAGATATCGTCGCGACTATCTGAAATGACCTAGGATGTTAGAAACTTTGACGGCTTGTATATGAAACTTGTTTATCAATATGTCTGTTTCTCTTGAGGGTTGAGTATTAACTGAGTGATCACAGGGGGGCTTCTTGTACCTGAACTAAGGTCTAAATAGAGAAACGCCCTCCAGTGGAAAGTTACCGATCTTGTGTTCAATGAATGGACCACACGATCACTGCATGACATCTCACTGCTCATGGACAGTTACTGTGATTGATGGAATTACACAAGACAAGTGTAATTAAACCACATTTATATAATATTACTGTCAACAATGAGACAGGGGCTATTACAACTAAGTAACACCCTCAAGTAACAAGTAACTCAGTAAAACCCTTAAGTAACAAGTAATAAAGTATCACCCCAAGTAACAAAGTAACACCCCAAGTAACAAGTAACTCAGTAATACCCCCAAGTAACAAGTAACTCAGTAACACCCCCAAGTAACAAGTAACTCAGTAATACCCTAAGTAACAAGTAACTTAGTAACACCTCAGAATAACATGTAACTCAGTAACACCCCCAAGTAACAAGTAACTCAGTAACACCTCCAAGTAACACGTAACTCAATAACACCCCCAAGTGACAAGTAACTCAGTAAAATCTTTAAGTAAGAAGTAATAAAGTAACACCCAGAGTAACCATTAACTCAGTAACACCCCCGAGAAACAAGGAACTCAATAACACCCTCGAATAACACGTAACTCAGTAACACCCCCAAGTAACAAGAAACTTAATAATATCTCAAAGTTTGACATTACCAGATAGTCGGGTCCAGCAGGTCACCGTGTCACTTAATAGGGAATCATCGCTCTCACTATAGATGTTGACGCCGTACAGGTAACATGTGGTGTCGTGGTAGGTGAAGAGAGTGGACCAGGTCGTGTGTGTCGCCTTCATAGCACAGATGATCTCATTAGCCAGATCAAGGGTTTGGGGACTAGCCAAGGATAGTTTAGTAGATGAGACTTGAACTGGGTACCACCTGACTGATTCTCCATTAACGATCGGTATTATATTCAACCATAAGAACCATACAATACCAGACCACAACTTCCACACAATACCAGGGTACAACTTCCCCGTGACATCACTCCACGATATCCCCACAAATTCCCCCACAACACCATGCCACAACTTCCCCACAACACCAAGCCACAACATCATCTCCATAACACCACGCCACAATTCCCCCGCAACACCACGCCACAGTTCTCCCACAACATCAGGCCACAACTCCCCCACAACACCATGCCACAACATAATCTCCATAACACCACGCCAGAACTCCCCCACAACAACAAGCCACAACATCATCCCCACAACACCAGGCCACAAAATCATCCTCACTACCCCAGGCCACAACTCTCCCACAACACCAGGCCACAAGTTCCCTACAACACCAGACCACATCCTTCACATGTGCTTCCGCCGACTGTAAGAAGCACACTGATTTGAGTTTCTCGGTGACACAGTAAATATGTTCCCTCTTAATATTCTCGTATGTGATCAATAACTACTGTATATCTACGCCACCGTACCCTCGACTAACTAAATTTAATCTAATGCTAACTTAACCTAGCCAAATTTAACTTAACGTCATGCTAACTTAACCTAACACAAACTTAATATGTGATCTAATGTTAACTTAACCCAGCCTAACTTAAATTAACTCTAATGTAAACTTACCCAGCCTAGTTTAACCTATTCTATTGCTAACTTAACCTAACGTTACTATAATCCACAATATACTTATTCCTGTGGCTGACTGTACATGGAAAAGGAGAAGAGAGAAAAAGATAATAACAGGAATGCATGGAGAAGATAGAAAGGGAGAAGAGAAGGAGAAGAAGAGAGACTGAAGCATTATTATCCTTAACAGGCGAGGAAAGGAGATGGGAGAGAGGGATAGTGAGAGGTGGAGGTATGAATGGAGGGATGGAAGGACAGAATAAGAATGGTATAGATGGATGAGAGGAGACGGAGACTAGAGAAGGAGACAAAGGAACGACAGCGATAAGTAAAACAAAAATGAGAACAAGTATTTGGATGATAACATGTAGGAATTAGTCGGTTAAATGTAGGCAAAAAGAGTAAGAATAATGAGAGAAAACATAAAGAAGAAAGAGACACTTATTATAACAACCACAACCATGAGTATAACAACCACGACCAAGATTATAACAACCACGACCATGATTATAACCACGACTATGATTATAACAACCACGACCATGATTATAACAACCACGACCAAGATTATAACCACGACTATGATTATAACAACCACGACTATGATTATAACAACCACGACCATGAGTATAACAACCACGACCAAGATTATAACCACGACTATGATTATAACAACTACGACCAACCACGACCATGATTATAACAACCACAACCATGATTATAACCACGACTATGATTATAACAACCACAACCATGATTATAACCACAACCATGATTATCTCATATACTATAGGAATATCTGTGTGTGTGTGTGTGTGTGTCTGTTCTGGGCAGCCGAAACGACACAATAGTTTTTCATCAAAATTAACTAATCCCAATATTATAAATTAATTTATAATATTGGGATTAGTTAATTTTACCGCCACACCTCCCCGTTAAGTACTGTACTGCGGTGTCCCTCAGGACTCATTTAGTTTAAAACTCGGGTTGAAACACGACGACCCTCTTCAAGGGAAGATGTTGTGTATTGAACAGCTGTCATAAATACATATGTACTGCATCACAACTCGGGCACCACATACAATAAATAATTTGACCACAAAAGTATACACCACAAGGTCACAATGAACCCCTTGGAGAGTCTTAAATCACTGAAAGAGCTCAGTAGTAGACAAGGTGTGGCGAGTCACGTTATTCTCTTTAATTGGATTAATATATATCCAGAGCTTTAAAAACGGATCACTTAATAGCAACTTTCATTTGACACGCTCACGTGATTTATTTTCTGATTTTCATTTACAACAGAAAATACAATATGATCCGGAAGATGTGAGAAATTTAAGTGACGGAATAAATTTTGTTCAATATCAATGTCAATGGAACTCTACAGTATACGCGGTAGACTGGCGCCAGTTAGTAGTATATCACAAGTAATTGGTACACAGAAAATCTGGGGACGACCTGCGAGTGTTAGATTAGGTTAGGTTAGGTTAGGTTAGGTTAGCGTTAAATGTTAGGTTGGGTTAGGTTACATTACGTTACGTTTCGTTACGTTTCGCTTATGTTAGGTTAGGTTAGGTTAGTTTAGGTTACGTTACATTTAGGTTAGGTTACGTTTATGTTAGGTTTAGATGCGGTTAGGTTAGCTGAGGTTAGGTTAAGTTAGCGTCAAGTTAGGTTAGCTTTAAGTTAGTTTAGCGTCAACTTGGGTTAGCTTTAAGTTAGCTTAGCGTCAACTTGGGTTAGCTTTAAGTTAGCTTAGAGTAAAGTTAGGTTAGATTAAGTACGGTTAGCGTTAAGTTAGGTTAACGTTAGGTTAGGTTAGGTTAGCGCAAGGTCAATATAGAGGTCAGCCGGACAGCGGTCTACAGTAGTTTACGCTCCCTCTGCGCAGTGACGTCACATGAACTAGCTGGCTGGCCCGCTCCCTCTCTCTCTCTCCACTTGTCTGTCTATCTTAACAGTATCGCCATACCCTGTTTCCTGTATCCTGGTATTGGGAGGTTTAGCTCGGAAAGAACGAGAAAGATGTAGCTATAGTTAGAGGGGCTACCTAAAAGGGTGTCATAAGGACTCTGGCCACTTTCGTCCATTCATTGTGGAGGGAAGGACAGCTGGCATTATTTGAATATTCTTACTAATTTCCTGACATTCACAATCACCTTTACATACAGCCTTACGTTACCAAGTATTGCCAGGTAAAATTGCGAGCACGAGAGACAGGGTGGGGTCGGTGGATCTTTGGCTGACTGTACATCAACACTTTATCTCAGACACAATTATTTTGAAACATTCCTTCCCCTCCTTAAGACTGCCCCTATGTACAGCCTTAAATACGTCTCTCATAATGGTTAATAGAGTGTCAGAAGGAACATACAGTTCACCTCTGTTTATTTCTTATGTCCTTGTTTTGGTCCTGGATGTGCACTAAGTGACTTTCTGGCCTAAGTGGGTGTTTGACACAAAACCTCACGATTTAGCCACCAACGTACCTCAGAGCTTCCTCTACTATGACTAAATCTATTGCTTTACCGTCATTTGTGTCAGGGTTTATGCATCTCTAGGTTTTCATTAAACTCACCACTTAACTTTTTTTTCTACTTCATTGCCAATATCCAAGTCTTTGAAACATTGATTCGTTATATAGAGTTCTACTGCCAGCCCTCTGTCATTAAAAGGTGTACCTTTATCATTTGTTTGTCTAAGACCAATATTTCTTGAAAAGCAGTCAAAATTGTCATTAGTTGTGTTAGATTTCTCAGAAATTAGTGAAACGTCTTTTCCCAGGAGTAACTTCTTGAGTCTGAACTTAAAATACACAGCATTTAGATGGTCGTAGGTTCCACGCATCTGTCTCGTGTACCCAAGCAAAAGCTCCAGACAATCTTGATTAAGTTTTCTAGTTAGAATGAATTCAAGATTAAAAGATTTCTGGAACATTTTGTACAACCCCATGAGTGACCGAGATGATAATATTACCCCTGTCTGAAACTGGTAAGGGCCGTTCAACAGTGAGTTCTTTACTCTCATTGTTGTCACCACTTCAATCATGCTATGCAGAGCATTTACTTGGTCACATAAATTAATTCCAAACGCATTAAGTGATTGTTTCTCACCAAATTTATAAGAAGAATTCATAATGTCAAACCATTCGTCCACTAGATTTATGAAGTCAGCAGTTTCCTTCCAATTTCTACCCACCAGTAGTCCTCTTTCTCAAAGATATTTCAGTGAGCTAGAGCAAGTTTTGGACAACAATTGGACTGCATATTTAGCCCGCTGTCGTTGGTAACCCCACACATTTAAATGCATTTCACTTAGTTTGTATGCTAAACCATACTCTGTCTTACTAGCTGTCATCATTTCCCGAATAGAGGAATCAGTTATAAAGCTTCCATCCTTCAGGTAAGATCCTGAATCGAGTGGATCATCTGACGGCATCACCTCCCTCCACCCCGCCCGCCTCGGACCTCACCTGCGCGCTGGTGTCATGCGACAAATCTTCCGGTGCGATAAACCTTCTGGGCTCAGCAATTACTGATGTTTATTATCGACATCTAAGATATATGATTGATTTGTGGGAGCTGAAAATATTAATAAATTCGGTAACGGAAGGTTTTGAATGAATTTCCCATTATATCTTAGGTAAACTGACTACAGTATAAGGATGATATGAAACATACTCACTACCAAAGACAATGAAAGCACAAAGTGGGCAATGCTTTGAAGTCGATGGAAATTGTGGGGTAAGAGCACAAAAAATGAACCAATCAAACCCAAGGAATCCTGACCTAACCTAACGTCTTAGATGTCGATAATGAACATCAGTAATTGCTGAGCCCGGAAGGTTGTCGCACGACACCGGCCGACCTCTCGATATTGACCTTGGGCTAGCGTGGTTGATCTTCAAGTGGCGCCATAAATACTACCATACTATATTATGCTTCCATTAATATTTCCGACAACAAGACTTCTTTAAGAAAATATATACACCTAGAAACTCCAGACATCCCATCCTTCAAATACAAGAATCATAGAAGAAAATCAAGCGTTCAATAAAGACATTAATTTTACTGATAATGTGAGAGTAACACGCGACTATAATATCTGTAAAATAGTCGGCGAAGTAAATGTTTTTGTGAATATATGTAGTATACCTAATGCCGTGAGTACGATGTCTTGGCCTTTTGAGTACAATGCCTTAACCTTTTGAGTAGGTTGCCTTGTGTACGATGACTTAACCCCTTGAGAACGATGACATAATCCCATGAGTACGATTTCTTAACCCATTGAGTATGATGGCAATCCCATGAGTACGATGACTTAACACCATGAGTACGATGACATAATCCCGTGAGTACGATGTTTTCATTCCGTGAGGACGATGACTTAATCCGTTGAATAGGATTTCTTATTCCCTTGAGTACGATCACATGATCCATGAGTACGATTTCTTATCCCCTCGTGTACAATGCATAACCCTTTAAGTACGATGACTTGATTACTTAAGGGGTTAACTCATCATAATCAGTCAGTTATTAGTATATATAGTATTAATGGTCTAAATGTATCAACACTCTAATGTGACTGACAGAAAACACACACACACTACTACTACTACTACTACTTGCTGTCACTCGGAATCGAGCATGACGATAATCCAGCTATGATACATAGATATGGGTTATTAAGGATGCCACCTAGGTTGGTGAGTTCTAAGGTGGCTAAAGAGGTTGAGACGGGACCAGCAGGGTCGATCACAGAAGTTGCACTGCGGGGGGCTACATTTAGTGCAGGAAGGTTGGTGCCACCGTGTCACCATAGCAAATTTCCTTAAACATATTTGCTGTGAGTTCGCTAGACGCTCCTATTGTCATGATCGTAATGACGGCTAACCTGCTAAACTTAATGATTCATATTACGCTAAACGTCCACAAAACCTTCTTAGTTCCCCAGTGGAAATGTCCTCCGTTTTCTCTGTTTCTTTGATGACGTCATCGAGATGTCGTCATTGTCTTGACCGAATTTGTAAATTCTTTCTGCTACCGAGACCCTGTAAACCCTTTTTCACCTATGAATATCAGAGACACTGATAATCATAGTGAAATTGTTGTA